TGCAACAGCACGAAATACTGCCCAGTTCTGCACCATGCTTACAATCATTGCTGTGTTTGAGCTCATTGTTGCAGCCACTTTGTCAATCCATCTAATTGAGGGGCTTCCTCTTTTTCACTGACCCTCTACTTTACTAAGCATGATGTCCTTCTCCAGGGACTGGTCCCTCCTGAGAACATGTACAAAGTATGTGAGACTAAGTGTTGCCATCCTTGCTTCTAAGGAGCATTCTGGCTATACTTCTTCCAAGACAGATTTGTTCATTCTTCTGGCAGTCGGTGGTATATTCAATATTCTTCTCCAACACCATAATTCAAACGCATCAAGTCTCCTTTGGTCTTCCTTATTCATTGCCCAGCTTTCGCATGCATATGAGGCAATTGAAAACATCATGGCTTGGGTCAGTGCACTTGGTTCTCAAAGTGACATCTTTGCTTTTTAACACTTTAAAGAAGTCTTTTGCAGCAGATTTGCCTAATACAATGCAGCATTTGATTTCTTGACTGCTGCTTCCATGGGTGTTGATTGTGGATCCAAGGAAAATGAAATCTTTGACAACTTCAATCTTTTCTCTGTTTATCATGATGTTGCTTATTAGTCCAGTTTGAGGATTTTCATTTTCTTTATGTTGAGGTGTAATCCATACTGAAGTCTGTAGTCTTTGACTTCATCAATAAACGCTTCAAGTCCTCTTCACTTTCAGCAAGCAAGGTTGTGTCATCTGCATATTGCAAGTTGTTAATGAGTCTTCCTCCAATCCTGATGCAGCGTTATGCTTCATATAGTCCAGTTTATTGGATTGTTTGCTCAGGATACAGAATGAATATGTATGATAAAAGGATACAACCCTGACACACACCTTTCCTGACTTTAAACCATGCAGTGTCTCCTTGTTCTGTTTGAACGACTGCCTCTTGTCCTATGTACAGTCTCCTCATGAGCACAATTAAGTGTTCTGCAATTCTCATTCTTTGCAATGTTATCCATAATTTGTTATGATTCACACCGTCAAATGCCTTTTAAAACACAGGTAAACAAACATCTTTCTTGTATTCTCTGCTTTCAGCCAAGATCCGTCTGACATCAGCAATGATATCCCTCGTTCCAAGTCTTCTTTTGAATCTGGCTTGAATTTCTGGCAGTTCCCTGTCTATGTACTGGTGAAAAACTGCTTTCGAATTATCTTCAGCAAATTTTTACTTGCGTGTGATATTAATGGCATTGTAAAAAAAATTTCCACATTCTGTTGGATTATCTTTCTTAGGAACAGGCACAAACATGGATCTCTTCCAGTCAGTTGGCCAAGTAGCTGTCTTCCAAATTTCTTGGCACAGATAAGTTACCACTTCCAGTGTTGCATCCTTTTGTTGAAACATCTCAGTTGAAACTCCATCAATTCCTGGAGCGTTGTTTTTTTGCCCACGCCTTCAGTGCAGCCTGGGCTTCTTCCTTCAATGCCATCAGTTGAACATCAACCAATACTTTTTGGTACAGTGACTCTGTGTATTTCTTCTATCCTCTTTTGATGCTTCCTGTCTCATTCAATATTTTGCCCATAGAATCCTTCAATATTTCAACACGAGGCTTGAATTTTTTTTTTCAGTTCTTTCAGTTTGAGAAATGTCAAGTGTGTTCTTCCTTTTTGGTTTGCTAACTTCAGGTCTTTGCACATTTCATTATAATACTTTATTTTATCTTCTTGAGCTACTCTTTGAAATCTTCTGTTGAGCCCTTTTACTTTATCATTTCTTCCATTTGCTTTAGCTACTCTATTCAAGAACAAGTTTCAGAGTCTCTTCTGATATCCATTTGGTCTTTTCTTTTTTTCCTTTTTTTAATGACCTTTTGCTTTTTTCACGTATGATGTCCTTGATGTTAACCCACAACTTGTCTGGTCTTTAGTCATTAGTGTTCAATATGTGAAACCTATTTTTGAGATGGTCTCTAAATTCAGGTGGGATATACTCAAGGTCATACTTTGGCTCTTGTGGACTTGTTATAATTTTCTTCAGCTTCAACTTGAACTTACATATGAGCAATTGATGCTCTGCGGTCAGCCCCTGGCCTTGTTCTGACTGATGATGTTGAGCTTCTCTATCTCTCTTTCCATAGATGTAGTTGTTTTGATTCCTGTATATTCCATCTGGTGAGGTCCATGTGTATAGCTGCCACTTGTATAGCTGAAAACAATATATTTCCAATGAATAGGTCGTTGGTGGCCTGGGTGATAGAAATGACGCTGGAGATCACATGATAGAATTTTGCAAGACCAATGACCTATTCATTGGAAATTCCTTTTTTCAAGAACATGAACAGCGACTATACGTGTGGACCTCCCCAGATGGAATACACAGGAATCATATCGACTACATCTGTGAAAAGAGATGATGGACAAGCTCAATACCATCAGTCAGAACAAGGCCAGGGGCCAACTGCACTGTTTTAGGCCCTTGGAATATACCAAAAAATTCCAAATCTGTTGCCATCAAGTCAATTCCGACTCATAGAGACCCTATAGGATAGAGTAGAACTGCCCCATAGGCTTTCCAAGACTGTCATATTTACAGAAGCCAACTGCCACATCTTTCTCCCAAGGAGCAGCCGGTGGGTTCAAACTGCTGACCTTTTGTTTGGCAGTCAAGTGCTTACCCACTGCCCCACCAGGGCTCCTTCCTTCGAATATATCAGTAAGCAAATCCTCACAGAAGTGACATACTAGTGGAGGTTCACAGACAATAAACAAATACGTAAATCATAGTTTCGATAGATCAAGGAGAGAAATAAAGCAGGGGAGAAGTATAAGAAATGAGGTGGGGGAGAGGTGTGTGTGTCAATTTTAGGTGGATGGTGAGAAAAGGCTTCCCTGGGAAGGTAACATTTGAACAGAACCTGGGAACAAGCTCTTCAGATATCCTCGGAAGAGTATCTTAGGCAGAGAAAACAGCAAATGAAAACCCACAAGGTGGGACTTGCTTGGCCAGCTTTATAATAGCAGGCAGGTCAGCGTGGCTAGGATGGAGTGAGCACACCACTTAGTAGTAGTTGAGGTCAGTGAAGGAATGAAAGCCAGATTGTGTGGCACTCTGTAGTCTGTTGTAGTGACTTTGGCTTCTATCCTGAGTGAACTGGGGCAACATTTGAGGGTTTTAAAAAAGTAAACACCATGACTTGCCCTATGCAGAATCAGGAAAAGCAGTGACAAGTTTTTCCTACAGGAAAGACTGAGTTACTGGGTGAAATGTATCTGATAAGTAAGATGAAAACTGAGAAATACTTGAATTTAGAAATGGCGGCCTCAGCAAGACCAGTTTTGGTGGATTTGAGAGAAAGAAAGTCAGACTAGAGTGTGTTTGAGAATGGGAGGAGAGGAATTGAAAACTAGGAGTTTTGCCACTTGCACCACCAGGGCTCCTCCGTATAAAAAACTGAAGGGTTGCAGTAGAGAGGAGCAAGGAAACGTGGTGAAAGCTGAAGGGGGAAGTGTTTTTTGTTTGAGTTGGGGACAGGAGATGTTTGTATGTGGAGATCATCTAAAACATTCTTCACTGGGTTTTAATGGGGTGCAACAGGCTCCCAGTTAGTCTCACCTTTGAAGCTTTTTCCCGTCTACTCTTTCTGAATACACTGCTTACGCGATGCGTCTTCCTAAATGATAACTCATATCTTTTCACTGTCTGCTCAAAAATACTCAGTGTCCTCATTTGTTATATGAAAACTTCAAATTCCTTAGCTGAACATTCAAATCTCCTCTAGTTTGGCCTTTTGGGGTTTCATCACCCTCTTCGGTAAGCCCTACAGTGAGGTGCAAAATCTGACAGACCAGAATCAAAAAGACTCGAATTAAAGCCATGGTTCTGTAAATAACTTGCTATGTGACCTTAGAGAAATTACGTAAGTGCACAAGGCCTCATTTCCTTCCTCTTTATCAAGGAGGCGTGTCAGGCAGACTGTATCTCTAGGTCACTGTCATCTCTAACAAGCTATAATTCTCAGCATCTCCGTGGCCACAAGTAGGATAGTCTCTTGAACCAGCTAGCTTTACCCCTTCCAAATCCACGGACCAGTCGATTTGTTCGGCCACTTATTTTTCATGCTTCGCTTTCGTCTTTCCAAATTGACTAGAGTTTAGAAGAGCCACAGCGCCAGCTCCTAGAAGGTCTGCCTCTCCCGGCCACCAGGGACCTGCCTCCTACTCTTCCTTTCACTAGAGACCTCCCTCTTCACAGTCAGAATCCGCCACGTATTAAGCGCTGCTTCCAGCCAATCAAGAAAAAGTTATCTCAGGCCTCTGAGGGGCATCCGCTTCCACCAATGTTCTTCCAAGTTTTCCCCAGCGCTTCGCTTTGGGGGGCGGGACCAACCATCGCGGTGGCAAATCGGCTTCGGGTAAAGGTTTTTCCCGAACTTCCGAGTTCGCCAATCCGCTAAGAAGGCTGCGGGGAGGGGCATTTTTCATTGGTTTTCCGTGTCCGGAAGAGGGCCAGGCTTCGGGTGACGAAAATACGATTTGATTGGGCCGCGCGTTGTGGACAACCGGGGAAAGCCCACCTTCCCCAACAGGGTCTCCGGAGTGGCGGAGGCCACAGCCAATCGGAGGACAGCCGCTCGGCAAGTTCGCTCAATGGGCGATGTCCGAGGGAAGCTGTCAGTCAGGTGGCTGTGCAGAAGGCAGGGCTGAGACGTGGCCCCGGGAACGCGGCTGGCTATCCAGGCAGTCAGGGCGGCAGTGGGATCCCTAGCTCATCCTCGCCTAGGTAGGGGCTTCCGAGCCGCTGGGGAGGCGGGCACCGGCGGCTGCGCATCCATGCCCGCGCGTAGGGCCGACCGCTGATGGAGCGCGCCACCTGCCCAAGGCTGCTCCAGCGGGCGCTGCTGCTGCTGCTGTGCCTCACGGCGGGAACGGTGGCCGCGGGGCGCGTCCGCGATCTCCCGGCGCCGTCGGAGGACGCTGCATTCGGCCTGGGGGCTGCAGCCGCTCCCACCTCGGCCGCCCGGGTGCCGGCGGCCGGGGCTGTGACTGCGTCTGAGGTGACGGTGGAGGACGCCGAGGCGCTGCCAGCGACCGCGGGCGAGCAAGAGCCGTGGGAGTCGGAACCCGCCGACGAGGCGGTGCTGCGGCCACGCGGCAGGTGAGGGAGCGCGGGCTGGGTGCTGGGGCCGCAGACCCCCGGGAGGTACCTTGTTTACGCATGCGGGCCGAGGGTGCTTGGAGGGCCGGGACCTGGGGCCGCCGGAGGACCACTCGTGACCTGGAGGTGGGCAGTGGGACTCGGCGAGTGCGGGGCCGCGACTACTTCCCACCCCCGGGGCCAGCGACTGGCCGGGGCTCAGCTCTCGAGCGCCGGGCCGTCGCTGGCGGGGTGATGCCCGGAGAATGGAGCGCAGCGATTGGAAAGAAACGCCACTTTCACCCTGTCATTGTTTTAGGGATTGAGTCATTCTCCAAGGAACTTTTTCCTCCCCTTTTTTCTTACGCGAATCACCTCATGTCGGTGCTGTTTTGACAGCTGTTTTGGTAAAGGACTTTCGAGAGATTTCCCTTTTAAACACAACCCTGTAGGGCCCCCAGACGAGGGCCGAGGTCAGTATTTCTCTGATTGAACTCTGAGGAGCGCCTGCATCAGAATCATGTGGGGATGCAGGTTAAATAATACAGTTTTCTGGGCCCCACCCCAGTTTTACTGAATCAGACTTTCTCCGGGTAGGAACCTGGAGTCTGCATGTTTAACAGGCACTCCACATTTACTCGCAAACTCTCACTGAAGTTTGAGAGCTATGAGTAGGTTGTCAGTTCTTTGATATTTAGAGGGTTTACTATATAAACTTTGATATTTATAGGGTTTACGATATAAACATATATAGAGGTGTCTTGGCTGAGAGCAGTTGAGCCTTAGTAATGTTACTTCATGATACATGATTTAAAGCACTTTTCAAAGTCTAGACAAAAATGTAAGGCATTTTAATCGTAAAGTGTTTTTGCAGACAGCTAATCTTAACACGCCCAGGGAGAAAGTGATGTCCCATTTAATAAGTAGAATGATAAAAGGAGCATTAGGTAATTTAAACCAGCAAGGGCTAAAATCTGGATTAGTAAAGATTGTATGCTTATAATGTAGTAATTACTAGAGTATAACAAATTAGATATAATTTGTAATAAAATACTGTCAGAAACTTGATCTATATACCTGAGACCACTATAAATTGGATAAGTACTAAAATTCTCTAGGCACCATTTGAACACTTAAGTATAGTGGTTTTTGATTTGTTTTTAGCAGCAAATATTTAACAAAGTTTTCTTAGGTTCTGCTGGAACCTAAGAAACACTCCTGGAAGAGTGTTTTTTGTTTGTCTTGAAGAAACTTCTGAAGCACCTGCTCAAAGTAAATTACCTGAAGTAGAGTGAGATGCTTTGTTTTTCTTGGAATACAAATCCACTTCCGAAACTACTTATTGGCACTTACAACAACACAAGGTGCCCTGAGGATTCAGAGGTTAGGCAGATAGTCCCTGCGTTCCAGGAGCTTACTGTCTAGCATAAAATGAGGACACCCATAATGGCATTGGAGTCCCGGGGTGTCGCAAGCAGTTTACAGTAGACTATTAACCTAAAGATTGGCGGTTTGAACCCACTCGGTGCCGTGGAAGAACGGCCTGGCAGTCTGTGTCCTTAATAAAGATTATGTCCAAGAAAACCCTATGGAGCAGTTCTACTCCGAACACATTGGTTTGCCATGAGTCGGAATCAGCTCAATGGCAACAGATTTGGTTTTGGTTTTTGGTATAATAATAATAGCAGTATACCAAAACAGAGCAGAAACGGTGCAAACTAAGTGCCCTTGGTGTCCCAAGGTTTTTGTGGTATTCATAGGGTGATGACAATGATGTAGGTGAGAACTTAAGGCCGTGGCAGAATGATTTGGTTCTTGAAAAGTGGGTAAAATTGTGATGGGCGGACACTGGACTAAGGAAACAGCAAGAAGCACAGATGCTAGAAAGTATGTTTAAGGAATGATCTCTCTCTACATCTTTTTGTGTGTGTATGTGTGATCTCTGTGTATGAGAGAGATACACACACATATGTGCAGGGCAGAGAAGACTAGAAGGTGAGAGTAGAAAAATAGGTTGGGGCCATATTGTATATATAGCCTCAGGAGTAACATCGTCATCACCTAGAATGTGTTAGAAGTTCAGAGTCATGCACCATCTCAGACTCACTAAATGAGAATGTGCATTTTAACAAGGTCACCAGGTGGTTGGTGTGCACATTATGTTTGAGAAGTATTGTATAGAGTATCTTGAATTCAGATATGATTGAAGTTTTGCTTTAGGAGTATTCTCTAGTAACAGTGTGTACCAAAAACTTGAGATAAAGACACTAAAATGAGAGTGTTATAGCAATTCAGATGAGAGATTTTAGTATTAAGTGGGTATAGAACCAAGGAGACAGAGTTGAGAGATATTTGAGGCAGAATTGTGGTTCCTGGCAAATGAATTGATTGCTTCTCCCTTGGCACTCCTGTCCAAAGATTGGGTGGCCAAAGATGAGAGCATATATAAGAAAACTGAGAGATTTAGGTGAGCAGGAAAGAAAAGGTGTTAAGTGTTTGGTGTAGACATGGTGACTTTGACAGGACGTCCAGTTGGAGACATTTGGTAGGCAGGTGGAAATGAGGGACTGGAGTTGGAGAGAGAAGGATGTCATGGTAAATAGCTGAAGCTGTGAGAAGCTAGGGAGGAAGATGAGCCAGCAAGGGAAACAAATACAGCTGACTAGGATGGAGGTATAGGCTGAGGACTAAGAGGAATGGGGAACGTGGTGATGAGATTACAGGAGGTAAAGGGCTCATTTCTTTCTGTCCCACTCCCCTCTTTCTTCACTCCCAAACCTGATAGGAAGCAATTTTTAGAATTGGGGAACCTCTGATCTTATTTATAGACTGAGAGGAGGGGTCCTGCATAGACTGGTTGAAAAGGAAAGGAATGGACGAGGGGTCAGAGGTATTCAGAGAGGATCTAATTGGCAAGCAGGAGGGCTGCTTCTTTCTTGGAAACAAGAAGAACGAAAATAGAAAATTTTGCCTGGCAGAGAGTAAATGATCTGCAAACAATTGGCAAGAAAGAGAAAGGCTCTGGTTTTAGGGGTCTGCCTGGTAGTAGAACCTAATACAGTGTGGAAAGGTTGAGAAACCCTGCAGGGTCAGCAAGAGATAAATATGCAAAGTTTCTAAAGCTTTTCTAAGTGCTCTTAAAAAAAAGAAAAGGTAAAAAACCAGAGAATATCAGTTCCATACTAATAGACCAATATCCTGTTTGTTTCAGGAAGGAGGATTAGGGAAACAGATTTGAGTTAACTAAGCGTTTATTACAAACAGCTGCGAAGAACTATGGTCCTTGAAAAACTTTAAAAAAGAGGGAGGTGGGGAATGAAGGCCTTTATTTTTGCGTGTTGTCTTTTGATGCTCAAGAAGCAATATGAGACTCGCTGGTTTTTTTTGTTTGTTTGTTTGTTTGTTTTTCTCTCTTGACTGAATTGTCAGCTCTTAATTGGGTTCATTCTAAATGCTTCCTCAGCATCTCAAGCATGTGAATTAGTGAATAAACAAATTTTCCTTTAAAATAGCTGAAATAAACTTGCTTTTCTTGTAGCAGTCTTGTCAGTTTTTTAATTAAACATTACATTTAGTTGAAATTTAAATGGAAGAGTCAGTGCAGAAAGTTGGGAAGAACTCAGTCTGACCTCACTGTTAGGTTTTATGCACCTTGGCATAGTCATGAGTTACCAGTCTTCTTATTGCAACACAAATAGCAAATTTGCAAGTGTTACTTGGGGCTCTTGGTGATGAGGTGGACATCTTCAGTTTGAGGACATTCTGACAACCTCAGAAATTAATAAAGAATCAGGTTTATTCTAACTATCATACTAATTTGCAAAGTGTATGTTCCTTTTCCCCCTACCTTTCATTCCCTCTAACAAATGTATTACTAAATTTGACATTAATCTATAGTGCTTCGTCAGTTTGTGCGTCTGTAAATGGAGTTTTTTGGATTAAATGAGATAACATGAAAATACTTTCCAAGTGTAAGATAATTTAAATTCTCTTTATTTCTCCTTCTCTCTCCTCCCCTCTGTCCTTTAACGAACTGATATGAAACAAAGGTACAGAAATCTGCCTTAGATTTTCAGATTTATAATCATGCTAGAAAACAAACAAAAACCCTAATAGGGCCATTGAATAGTAGATTTCAGAATTCAGTGTTGAAGAGAACTCCATCATCTAGTCCCAACTGATAACTCCAGTCCCTCTTCTGACACCAGACTTAGAAAGTTAACTAAAAACCACATTTAAAGAACAATTTATACATAACTTTCAAAGCAAGTCATAAGCCAAAGTAAGCATACTTTAGGCAAGTAATGACCATACTCCTTCTCTGCAATTGTCTTTTTAGCTTGATTGATGCCTGGACTCTGGATGTAATGTGAGAAGGGGTGGGGGAGTCTGCTCTCTATTGAAGCTCAGCTCTCTGTGCTCTCAGGCATTTTTCTGGAGGGGCCTGTCTCCATCAGTTGCTGTGAACTGTAGATCTACCTAGCTCTTCATTCCCTAAATACTGCCTGGGAATTCCATTTGCTTTTTCTTTTCTGTAACAGAGGAGCTGCTTGTACATTTTTATGACAAAATGTTTTAAACTACAAAGAATAGAACTTGTAAGTTACAGAACTAGTAAATGGGAAGGGGAAGATTAAATTTTTTTTACTATTTTATTTGTAAATAACCATTTTCATTAAAAATGTTTTATAGAATAAAACAGAAGAAAAGTTTTTCCAGAAATGTTTTAATCTGACAGGAAAAGGATATCTGTCAGTCTCATGTTGCCTGTAATATTGCAGTTAGCTTTTATTTCTTTAAGGTCTAGCTGACATATCAAAGTTATGAAATAGAGTTGGTAAGTTTTGACATTATATTTGTTTTGATTTGGGGCACGGCTAGTCTTGTGATATGTTTAAATAAAGGAAGTTTGATTTGAAGATTTGCTTACTAGGTGAGGACTAGGAAAGAAAGTTCAGTTAGTACTAATATCTTTTTAAAGGAGAACATATGCTTCCTCTAGTGAGAGCATATGTTTGGGT